CACACAGGCCAGCCCCAGAACTCACATAAACACACACACACACACACACACACCAGTCAGTCACAGACAGGCCACATCAGACATTTATAAACAAACTGGCACAGAGACACCCTGACGCACACAGCAGCCAGCGCTCACATGGACGCATGCACATATCAGCCTCAGACCTCACACACATACACACAGACCTCACACAGGCAAGCCGTGGACCTCACACGCACGAACACACACACCAGACAGGAATAGTTTAGCTATATGAACAAACAACACATGCATATAGGCCAGCCATATGCAACAGATTCCATGGACCATCCACACACAAACCCACCACACCCCCCACAAACCACACAGGCCCCACACGGCCCTGCAGGGTTGGGCTGACAGACACACAGACACACGCACTGGGGAGACAGGCCTCGCACATACTCTCACGGGCCCTGACAGGCCCATCATACACAGAACCACAGCCGACCAGACACACATGCTCCTGGGCCATGCTGAGCTACTGTGGAGCTCTGGACTTCCCAGTCTGTCTCTGTACCCAGCACACCCCCCCCCCACTGATCCCTGCACTTCCTCTCTCCAAACATTACCCTGGACTTCCCTCCCTCCCTATTTGTCACTTCCTAGGAGGCCTGGCTCAGCTGCCTCAGTCCCTAGTGGGCTGTAGATCTGTTTTCTCAGTGCATCCTCTATAAAGGGGGCACCCAGAATCTCAGCCAGGCCCAGGCCCCCCAAGACCTCACCAGCAGTGTATAATACATGGAGGGGGCACAGAAGTAGTTTTGTGGGAAACTCCCCTCATGCCCAGCTGAGTCAGCCTGAAGAGACAGCCTCTCCTTCCTGCTTCCAAGAAAACCCAGCAGCTTCCTCTCTGGCATAGGGGGTGAGAGACCCCCAAACCACAGAGGTGGAGTAGGAGGTAGCTGGCAGGCCAGGGGTTCCTGGGGGAGGGCCTCCGTGATTCTCAGCCTCTTCCTGCCCAGCTGCCTGTCCACACCCAGGGGCAGGGACGCGGGAGGTTGGGTGCTCTGACTTGTGGGTTCTCGCTCTGGCCTGCCCACTGGCTGACTCACTAGCAGCCCCCAGCCCACTTTCCTGGTGAGGGCCCCACCAGTCAGTGGGGCCAAGGGGGAGGGGGTCACTAGACTATTTATAAGAAGGAGAAGTCCCTCATGTCAAAGTCGAAAGCCCCGGAGAGATCCGTGGGTGGGGGTAGATGAACTTCCCCCTTATCCTGTCCCCACCCCAGGCCCTGGGCCCCTGAGTATGGGGGGGGGGGCAGCCTAGGCACAGAGTCCTCCTCCAGATGCTGCTCTGGAGCCCAAGGCCTGGGCAGTTCCCAGCTAGATCTGGACACCCAGACTAGGAGGGGAGGGGGCTATCCTCACACCCTCTTCTAGGGGCCTTGGCGCCAGTAGAGCCAGTAGGGCGGTATGAGGGGGTGGTGCTCAGGCCACAAAGTGAGACTGGCAGGGGCCTGGAACCGGCTGTACCAGCTGTGCTGGGCCCCGCCCTCCCCGGCTGGCCCGTTCCCACCCCCTGCTCAAACATCCATGCAGAGTGCACGGAGCCACCCAACCCCATTCCAATGTGCTGGCCTGTTCCCCCACTCACCAGCACCCCTCCACTATGTGCCCAGCCCCTGTCCCCCCACCCAGCAGCACCCTTCCAGTATGTGCCCAGTGCCATTTCTCTCTGGATTAAAGAAGACCCTACCTGAAAGGGCCTGCAAAGCTTGGCATACAGTTGGTCTGCATAAAAGCCTCTCTGCCTGTGACTGCGCACAGCGTAGTGGCTAACACCCTGGAGCTAGACAGCTCAGGTGTATCTCAACTCCAGCATTCACAGCTGTGGGACATCCAGCAAGTTCTTTACCTTCCCGTGCCTCAGTTTTCTCTTCTGTTAAATGGGGATACATAGCATGCATTTTGCTGGGTGGCTGGAAGCAGGCAATTAGTTAGTCTACTTAAACCACTTAGAAGAGTGTCTGGCCCATGGCAAGAGCTATATAAGTGTTAGCTATTAAAATAATAATTATTATTTCTCTGTCTGCCTATCATAAGTGTCATTGCTCACTGCATGACGCTAACCCTGCCCCCAGTTTGTCTCTTCAGCCATCTCTCCCTGCCCTGACTCCGACCCCCATACACCCACTTATCCTTGCTGAGTTCTTGCCCTTCATCTTGCCCCTCTCTGGGCCAGACTCACAGTTCTCCAAGACTCCCCTGGTCTGGCCAGCCTCAGCACTGTCCAGGGCTGACTCACCGTGGCCTCCTGGCCCGTGGGACCTGCAGGTTGGCTTCATGAGATGCTGCCCTCTGGCCAGACCTGCCCAGTCCCCCAATCCTGCCCACTGCGCCCCCGCAGGGCCCTGGCCAGATGTCAGCTGCAGTTATTAGCATGGGCGGGAGACACAGGCCTTGGCAGCACGCCTGCCAGACTCAGCGGCCCGCTGGAATCTCCCTTGAGCCTGGAGCAGGGAGGGGAGCAGTTCAAGCTAGGGGGGGAGGGGAGGAGGCACCCAGGGGTCACAAGTACCTCCAAAGACCAAAGACAGGGATGCCCCCAGATTCTTAGGGGACCTTCCTCCCCAGCTCCACTGCTCCACTGGACTTCCCCATGCCCCCACATAGCTCAGTTTCTCTTTCACCTCTTTCATTTTCCTTCTCTCCCCCACCCTTTGGTGAGTTCTGTGCCTGCCCTACAAAGTAGCCCCATCCCTTAGCATCTCCTTACCCTAAGGAAACTTCCCTCATTCCAGAAGATACAGGCCTCTCTCTGAGAGAAAGAGACTCAGCTTCTCACCTCTTGTTGCACTGGCTCACATTTCAACTGTTGGGAAGTTCCACTGTAAGTCTAACTTGAAGCCTCATCATCTAAACCTCCACCCAGTCCTTACTGGGGAGGGTGCTCTGGGTCCCCCCAGATTCTCCCCTTGGATTTTCAGGTCCCTTCTGACGAGAGGAAAGCGGAGCCCTCAGATGAAGGAGATACCCTGGGGAGGGAGGGAAGCCCTTCCGGTATTCTGGATGGTCGACCATACCCCCAGACTAAAACCGGAGTAGGGGCCCTGGCCCACAAGGGTGAGGGAGGGGGCACCCCAGCGCCTAGAGTTGCTTGTGGGGAGAGGCCCCAGATCTCCTGGCAGAAAAGATGAGTACCCCGCCCCAGGGAGGAGGCAGCCGTGCCAGCCCGCCCAGGCGCCAGGGACGCCTGGAGGCATTGGCCCGCCTCCTCCGCGCTCAGTCGGGCCAGGGGCGAAGTCCGACCCAGGCCGTGGGCAGGTGGAGACCTGCAGGGCTGGGTCGGGTCGGGTCGGGCCGGGCCTGGCAGGACACAGCCCCAGAGCGACTGGGTGGGGCCGGGCCAGGCGGCCGTGGGGGCCCTGGGGCCGGAGGCTGGGGCTGGTCAGGACTAGCCGTCGGGGGCCGGGCGCGCCCTGGGACCTGGCAGATACCCGGGCTCCCGGCTCCTGGCAGGGGGCCCAGGGACATGACTGGCCCCACCCCTTCCTGTGCCCTTATATGGGCTTCGGGGACGACTTCGGGGACCCCCTCCCCCCTCCAAGCGCAGACTCCGTCCTGTTGCCATGGTGACCAGGACCCACTCCCCTGCGCGTCCCCCTCTGTCGGGCTAATGGAACTGTCCCCTGACTGCCAGCCCCCAAGATTGCCCGCGGGCACCGCAGGCGGTACCATTGCTGGAGTGGGGGGATGGTGACTGGAAGCCTCTGAGGCTGGGCGTGTTCAGTGCACCCCGGCCTCCGAGGGGGTCCCGCGCCCAGCTTCCTCTTCTGTGGCACAGAACCCAGCCCGACTCAGGGTGGGGTACAAGGTCCCGTAGGATCCGAGTGACGGAGACTGGGCCGGGCTCCTTCCCCCAGGGCTGTTGCCACATTTCCTGCCGCCGAGTTCTTCCCCGGCCTGTTTCTAAGGAAGAAGTGGGGCTGGCGACCGCGCCCCGGCCTTGGGGCTGGGTCCAGGCACCGGGGAGCCGACGTGGTGTCGGTCAAGCCCAGGGTTACTGGGGAGGCCTCCGGGATAGGGACAGAGTATACAGACGCCTGGAGGTCACGCACAAGAGAGGGCACCAGTCACGGAAGATCCAGCAGTCCAGTTCCTCAGGGTCCTCAACGACCCTCCTCTCCCTCATGTCTCAACCGAGGACCCTCTGTCATGGTCATCTCATCAGAATTCCCCTTCATCAGAGCTTCGCAGATGACCCCAACCTGTGACAGTGTCCCCCTCTTCTACCACACACATTTTCCCTGACTCCCTGCATCCCAGACCCTCATTCCCTGTATGCATATCTAGATCCCCTTTCCCGTTTACGGCGGACATCAGCCTGTCCCATGGACTCCCGGACCCCTACTCATACGTTGCGTAATGAGTCTCCAAGCTCCTTCCCGTACACCCTTTTCATCCCGCGCCCCCCTCCCCACATACACATTTTTCCTGAGTTCACTCCCTCAGTAGAGTGGGGTACTCTACTCGGGACCCCTACTCAATTCCTGAGCCAGGCATCTCGCCCCTTACGGCTCTCCCACTTACCCTGCTTAACCCTCCTGTCTCTCTATCCATAGCACTCCAGCCACTCTCAGATACTACGGATTCTTCACGCCTTCTGTGTACAACTTGGGACCCCCGCCACCCCCACCCCCAAACACTTGCTCTGTACCAGTTCCTCAAGCCCCTCATCGCGTACTCAGGGGTATCGTCACTAACCCCACCCCAGAGCCGCTCCCGGTGTGCCTCGGACGGTCCCAGCATCCCCTTCCTCGCGCGCCCCGGGGTCCCCCGAGCCCCTCCCCCTGCAGCCTCGCCAAACCACCCAGCCCGTGGCCGCTGTTTACAAGGACACGCGCTTCCTGACAGTGACGCGAGCCGCCTCCTCCCCTTCCCCACGCTCGAGGAGGGGGGCGCTGGGGGCTCGCGCGACGGCCAATCGGAGCGCACTTCCGCAGCTGACAATCGCCGTATAAAGGCGTGTGGCTCCGGCTGAGCGGCTGGGACCTTGAGCGCGGCAGGCCGGCGTCAGAGCCAGCAGGGAGCGGGAAGCAGGGGGAAGCGACACCAAGAAAGCAAGCGCGCCGGAGAGGGGTCTAGGGACTCGCGAAGCCGTACAGAGCTTCCGCGCACGGCGTCCCACTGGCCTCTCCCGGCCCGTGCCAGCCCTAGGGACCACGCTTCCAGGTACCCAGTGAAGCCACCGCCGAGGACAGCGCGCCGCTCGCCGCAGCGAGGCCCGGGGCGGCCCCGCAGGGACCACCCCCAGACCGCCTGGGCCGCCCGGATGTGCACTAAAATGGAACAGCCCTTCTACCACGACGACTCATACACAACCGCGGGATACGGCCGGGCTCCGGGCGGCCTCTCTCTACACGACTACAAACTCCTGAAACCTAGCCTGGCGCTTAACCTGACCGACCCTTACCGAGGTCTGAAAGCACCTGGGGCGCGCGGCCCCGGTCCAGAGGGCAGCGGTGGTGGCAGCTACTTTTCCGGCCAGAGCTCGGACACAGGAGCGTCGCTTAAGCTCGCCTCATCAGAGCTGGAGCGCCTGATTGTCCCCAACAGCAACGGCGTGATCACGACGACGCCCACGCCCCCGGGACAGTACTTTTACCCTCGCGGGGGTGGCAGCGGTGGAAGTGCGGGGGGCGCAGGGGGCGGCGTCACCGAGGAGCAGGAGGGCTTTGCCGACGGCTTTGTCAAAGCCCTGGACGACCTGCACAAGATGAACCACGTGACGCCCCCCAACGTGTCCCTGGGCGCCAGCGGGGGACCCCCAGCGGGGCCCGGGGGTGTCTATGCCGGCCCGGAGCCTCCTCCCGTCTACACCAACCTCAGCAGCTATTCCCCAGCCTCTGCGCCCTCCGGAGGCGCCGGGGCCGCCGTCGGGACCGGCAGCTCGTATCCGACGGCCACCATCAGCTACCTCCCACACGCGCCGCCCTTCGCCGGCGGCCACCCAGCGCAGCTGGGCCTGGGCCGCGGCGCCTCCACCTTCAAGGAGGAACCACAGACCGTGCCTGAGGCGCGCAGCCGCGACGCCACGCCGCCAGTGTCCCCCATCAACATGGAAGACCAAGAGCGCATCAAAGTGGAGCGCAAGCGGCTGCGGAACCGGCTGGCGGCCACCAAGTGCCGGAAGCGGAAGCTGGAGCGCATCGCGCGCCTGGAGGACAAGGTGAAGACGCTCAAGGCCGAGAACGCGGGGCTCTCGAGCACTGCGGGTCTCCTCCGGGAGCAGGTGGCCCAGCTCAAGCAGAAGGTCATGACCCACGTCAGCAATGGCTGCCAGCTGCTCCTTGGGGTCAAGGGACATGCTTTCTGAGCACCCCTTCTCCGTACGGACATTCCCCCTCCCCCAGCCTGGACGGCTGGACGCACGCCTCCCACAGGGTGAGGGGGGCAGGCGGTGGGCACCGGTCCCAGGGTTGGGGGGCGCCGAAAACAACACTGGACTCCTGCCCGCCGGCTCTGCGCCCAGTCCTTCCACCTCGACGTTTACAAGCCCCCTTTCACGTTTTTTTTTTTTTGTATGTTTTTTTTTTCTCCTGGAAACGGACACGATTCATATTGAATATAATATATTTGTGTATTTAACAGAGAGGGGAGGAGGGGGCGATCGCGGCGGAGCTGGTTCCGCCGTCCGGTACTCAAGCCTGCGGGGACACTGGGGAGGAGACCCGCGCCCCCTGCCCTTCCTCCTCTGCACCGTACTGTGGAGAAGAAACACGAACTTACTCCCTAAATAGTTTATTTTAAGATGTGTTTGTGTGTGTGTGTTTGTTGTCCTGACTTTTTATTGAATCTATTTAAGTAAAAAGTTCTTTATTAATATCTGTTGTCTTTTTTTCCAAGCCCGGGTGGACGTAGGGAGGAGAGTATTGGGATGTCCCCACCCCAATGATGTTTGTGGCTCGCTTCTATATTTGCGTCCCCTCGCCAGCTCTGCCCAAGGATCTCACAATCCTTCGCGTTCCGAGATCCCAGGAGTAGGAAAGTCCAGGGCGGATACGCAACCCACCCACCCCAACACCTGGGGCAGGATGCCTAGGGCAATTCGCGCAGTGCGCAAGCGCGGCCCCGCCTAGCAGCGCACGCCGGGGCTTTCCCTGTGACGCAACGGAAGCGCTGCCCATATATGGGTGGATGCTGCCAAATGACGCGAAGGCGGTCTCCGGGCAGATTCCGGGAATCCCCTCCCCCGCTCTGCCGGGCAAGGGCCTCGGCGCCCGGAAGGAGGCCGGGATTTTCCCAGGCGGGCGGCTGCCAGGGCCCGGAAAGCCCCAGGCTTGGGTCCAGAGCGTCCGAGGTGGGCGGGCCCAGCCTTTGGGTGCAGAGAGTCACCTAGAGCCTCCCTTCTCTGGCTGGCTCCCTGGCCCCACCGCGCCCACGCTTGTCTGACTTGACCTGGGTGAGGGGTTGCTGCTCCCTGCACGTCCTTGCCGCCTCGGTCCCCTTCACCCTCGCCAGGAAGGGCGGCACCCGCCTGCCAGTTTCCCCTCCCGGTGCCAGGCCAGGATCGGGGCGACTGCCAGGTCTGGTCCTGCTGGGGCGGCTTCTCTGGCCCCAGGGCGCCTTCGAAGCTCTCACGGGGCTCCTTGCCCCGCAACTGGAATGGGAATGAGGGCAGCTGGTGCGACCCCCAAGAGGGCAGGCTGGCCTAGGAGCTGGAAGCACTCAGAACAGCAGAGAAACTAGGCAACAGGGGCAGGATGGGCAGAACAGACACTTTATTAATTTATTTATAAACTACTGAACAACCTGGCCCCGGAGACAGTCCGGACCACAGCAGGCAGACAGAGTAAACAAGGGAACATTATTCATAGATGGTGGCTAAGTGCTGAGGAGACACAGATCAAAGTAGTAGTGATGGGGCAGGGAAGATGAGCTGCTTTGGATAATGGATTGGGAACATGGACCTTTAATGAAACCAGATTTGAAGCCCAGCCTTGAGAAAATCCCGGGTAACAGCATTCTGCATAGAGGGAACACATGCAGTTCCTGTGGCCAGAGCAAGACCAGCCTGTTAAAGAACAACAGTAAGAAGCCAGTGTATTTGGAATGAATAAACCGGGAGGATGGAGGCGAGGTCAGGAAAGACCACACAGGGCCTTGAACAGAAGTGGAGATAAAATTTCAAGGCTGAGATTAGTGACTTCAGTGGGTATTAAGCTGGATAGCAATATTAATGGGCCTATGGATTAAATGAACTTGTCTACCCAGTTCTGTGGAAGGAAATGGGGGCCCAGAGTAGAAACACCACTTGCCTGGCACATACATCAAACTCCACTCGGGGAAAACTTCCTTGCTCCTGACACCTGCCTCCTAGCCTAACCCTCACCCTTTCACCCTAGGGGCTGACAGGCAGCCACATGCAGCCCTTCTGACCTGTGGTGGGGCAGAGTTTGCCCACTGTGCATATAGTTTGAGCTCCCACTCTTAGTTCTGCTCATGCACACTCTTTCCCATAAGACTCAACTCTTCCTTCAGGCCGAGGAACCTGCCCTAGTAACCATTCACTGGGCCAAGCTTCACTTGATCTCTTTTCACATGCATGATGATCTGGCTCGGTTGTCTTTACTACCATTTTCCTGATAAAGAAAGCCAGGAAGGATCACATCTCTTAAACGACACTTGAACACAGCCTGGCTGATGACTAGATCTGGGAACTACCCTCCAAGGCCAAGTCCAGGGACTTGCTCTGGGTAAGGGGCAAACAGCCCTCCTCACCCTATAAACTACCCTTAGGCCAAAAAAAGGAAAGCAAATATGGGGTAAGACTGCCGCCTTGTGGTGCAGATGAGTAACTACAGAGCCAGTTTCTCAGGCCAGAGCTTGGAGAAAACAGGGATGAGCAAGGAAGTCTACAGGACAGACCACACCAACAGACTCACATCTGTCCCTAATACTTTATTGGTCACCTCTAGGCCTGTGCCTGGTTGGGAAGCTCCAGGGATGGGTTACCATTCACCACTCAGCTAGGAATATGAAAAGGCCTAGGACTAGCCCTTTCAGGTCACAGACTGTAGAATGTAAAGGGGCAGATCTGGCCTTTCCTGGGCCAGCACGGGGCACCCAGGTGGGGTCCAAGAGCCCAAGCTTGGTGCCTGTTTGTCAGCCTAGTTGTGTTTGGAGAAGTATTCCTTGCTGTCATCCACATTGGGCTTGATCGTGTCACTGCCTGGCTTCCAGCCAGCGGGACAGACTGTGGGAAGACAAGAAGGCACGTGTGAGGCTACGGTCCCATATTCAAGGCAGGACAGCAGTGAGAAGTGAAGCAAGATTCGAGGTGCAGAAGAAAAGCCCAAAGCCAAGTGGTCCAGGCCCAACACCATACCGTATGTGGATAGAAGCCCCAAGCCCAGATGTACATTTCTGGCTGACATTTTTATTTCTTTTTGGCCCCTTTCGCCCCATCTTTTCCCCTAATCCTCACCCCCACTAGACTTTGAAAGACTATGGCCAGGTTCTGATCCAACTAATTTTATTCAAGCCTGCCTTGGCACATACCTTCTCAAATACCTTCTCTATAGATTTTTATTATTAGCTCCCAGCTCCCCACCCTCATATTAGGGTATCTCCCCCCACCAGACTAGAAACTTCCTGCAGATAAGGCCCTGAACTGAATCATCTTTGGGGCCCTCACATCCATGTCACACAGGTGTCCACAAAGGGACAGAGAGGGCTGCATGTGTGCCCACGTGTGAACACATGTAAATGTGTGCCCACTCACCTTCCCCATGCTCATCTGTGTACTGAAAGGCCTGTACCAGCCGAAGAGCCTCATCCACAGAGCGCCCCACAGGCAAATCATTGACGGTGATCTGGCGAAGGACACCTTTGCCATCAATGATAAAGAGGCCCCTGAAGATATACGGGTGCACAGTGAAGATCTGAGAGCTCCCACTCGCAAGGCCATGGGAGGCAGCATCATATCCCTGCCAGCCGCACGTGTGGGGCAGGGAGGGCATCACCCAAGAGTGGTCCCCTCACCCTACGGATGGGGGTTCCCTGAGCACCCCACAGTACCTGTAGGCAATCCCCTCATCTTTCTTCAGCACACCATAATCACGGGACAAGCTTCTGGTTACATCAGCCAACAGGGGAATATTCAGAGGACCCAAGCCTCCCTCCTTCCGGGGGGTGTTAATCCTGGGGGTGGGAGAGACAGGACTGAGACCTCAGGATACCTGGCATAGCAGGGTCCTCACCCTGTGGGCCCGGGTGTGATAAAGGCTGGAGAGGGGTTGCTGGGGGAGAGAGATAAGAGGCTTTAGAGCAAGGCTCAGGGAGCCCCACCCAGCCCCACCCACCCCACCCTGAAGTGGGTGCAGGGGGTTGTTTCCACAGCTGGGAAGACAAGCTAATGCTCTCATTCCGATAAAGTGTTTTCGAATTTGCTGTGGTCTGCGGCATCTTAGGACAGAGCCCCCAACCTCCTTTGTCTCTAGCTGTGACCTGAGGACCAGCCATTCATTGCCCTTCAAGTGGAGTTGCCACCTTCTTGAAATAGTTCTTGGGAGGGAGGCTGCTTTGCCCTTAGTGAGATAAAGCGTTTGTAACTCCACACCAATTAACTAAATTCCACATGCTAATTACTGTCCTCATCATCATTAAGAATCTGGGCGTCATTATATCCATTATTTTCAAGATGGGCAAGGGAGGTACAGAGGTTGAGCGACAGCAACAAGAATACACAGCTCGGACCCTGTAGAGGTGTAGGTTTGGCTGCACCATCCCTCTCTGCTGGTTCCCACTCATACCAAGCCAGGTGGGTGAACTGCGAGTCTACAGAGACCCCCAGCACCTCGCAGCCCAACTTGCGGAAGTCCTCAGCATGCTCGCTGAAAGCGATGATTTCCGTGGGGCACACAAAAGTGAAGTCCAAAGGGTAGAAAAAGAGGACCACGTATTTGCCTGGAGGAGGGGGCAGGAATAGAGGAGTGAGGGCCCAACCCCCTCGATGCCAGGGCTCCGCCCCTCCTGGGCCCCTCCAAGCTGCCCTCACCTTTGTAATCTGAAAGCTTCACCTCCTTGAAGGCGCCATCCACCACGGCGGTGGCCTGGAAGTCCGGGGCGGGCTTTCCGATGTGAGCGTTTCCGGAGGCCATTACTGAAAGCTGAGACCCCCCTCCACCCCCACCGCCCGGTCAGTGTGCCCGCGAAAGACCCTTTGTCCTCGCTGCTGAAGGTCACCCTGCGTGCTGGGCCCGGTGAGGCTGAGGCTACCTTACTGTCCCGAACCCTCCTTGGTACCGACTCTGCACGGCTTTTAGACCAAGGGAGACCCGCCCCCCCTCCTCCCACGCCTCCAGTCAGCAAGAGCGGTTCAGCGGCAGCCACCAAGCTTTCCATTAGCATGTGGTGATGCGGGCTCACCGCGGGGGGGGGGGGGCCCTTGGCAAGCAGGGGATGGGAAGCTCGCCAAGGCCCCGGCCTCGATTTCCCCACCCCACCCCAAGGACAAAGGCGGCCACCACGTTGGGTGAAAAACAAAGGCGGCCAGCGCTGAAGTCTGGAGAGGGCCGGAGAGGCTGCTAGGGCTTCCTCCCAGGCCGGTGCGCCCCAGGCGTCCCTACCTGCGTGGGGAAGGGTGGGACACACAGAGAAGCAGACTAGCTGACTCGCGTTCTCAGAGACAAGTGCTCCCAGGACAGCTGAGCCTTTTATGCGCGGCCCGAACCATGACGCTCAGGGCCGGGGGTGGTGACGAGAGGAGCGGTCGGGTCCACTGCCAACCTAGTGGAGGGGGAGCGGAGCAGGCGGGTCTGCGGCTGGGCTGGGGGAGACGCGCAGCCGCGGGCCGCGCCCACCACGCCCACCCGCGAGGGTTGTGAGGGCCCCGCAGTCTCCGCGCGGGGCTAGGCCCCGGAGCGTGGCGGGGGCGGTTGGAGGCCGGCATGGCCCGGAGCCCAGCTGCGCTACTGCTGTCGCCCCTGATGTTCCTCCTGCTGATAACGCCTGTCCAAGTGTCCCCCGACTACCATTACTTTGGCGATCAGGGAGAAGGCGACACCTGGGAGCAGTTACGGCTGCAGCTTCAGGGGAAAGGTAACCGCAGGCCGCGGGTGTGACGGTGCAGAAAGATGCCCCCCTGCCCCGCTTTGTCAGGTGGCTGCGAACAGATCCTCCTCTGTAGACTTCAGATCTTTGCCCAGCTCAGCACGGGCGGCCTCCGTTGGACGGGCCACTTTTCTCTGAGGCTGTTTTCTCATTCGTAAATTGAAATAAAGAGTGCCTTTAAGCAACTTACACAGGGAGAGGGGGTGTGAGCAGGACCCAAGCAGACACATCCATAAAGACATGGATAAGTGACGGGAAGGTCGGAGATAAAGAAGGTGTCAGGTCAACTTCTGAAGTCTGAGAAGAAGCCTGGCTGAAGAAGATAGGTAACCAATGCATCAGGCACGACAAGAAAATAATAATGTAAAAAAACACCAAGATTTGGGGGAAAGAGTGTTGCCAGGGAGCGGGAACAGCATATGCCAAGGCCGAAAAGGACTGACAGAGGAATGAAAAGATGCCACTGTTATGTGATGGATGCTTGGTGAGTTAAAGCCTCTCTCACAGATGCTAGGGAAAAGTCAGAGAAAGAACCCTGTAAAGGGAGTGGTTAAGCGCTCAGTAAGTTGTAGTTGTTTTAAAAGTGACCATACTCACTGTGTTTGTTCTAAGAGCTAGCACACTGCGGGGGCTTTAAGTATCTTTATTATGGTAATTATGTCATTTAACTTACCACCTGACAGACCTGCTGGTCAGGTGGCACGGTACCCGCTGAAAAGGCTTATGATTATGTCCTTGAAGACGGGAGTCAGCTTCTGAGGGTGGGCACGAAGAGCGTTGTACCACAGTCCCAACTGGCACAGGTGGGAAGTGTCAGTGTGCAGTCCCTCTGGGTCACTCACCAGATGTGTGAGATCAGAAGAATGGCTTGCTCTTTCTAGGTCTCAGTTTCTCCACCTGGGACTAATGGGAAGACTACATGAGATCCTTTATGGCAGGGCGCCTGGCACAGAGGCACAGCGCTGCAAACATGAGCTGTTGCTGTAGTGTCTTCAGCTTCCTTTCTCCCTAGAGGAGGGCCTGGGGGTAGGTGCCCCGCCCCCGACCTGGTTCCTCCATCTCTAGACGCGGAGGACTCGATCTTTGGCCCGTGGGGAAAGTGGCGCTGCCTTTGCGACCTGGGCAAGCAGGAGCGCAGCCGTGAGGTACTGGGCACAGCGCCGGGCCCAGTGTTCATGGACCGCGAGAACCTGGTGCAGGTGCGGCCCTGCCGGCAACGGGACTGTTCATCCTGCAAGCCGATCGACTGCGACTGGAGGCCCTGAGTCCGGGTGAGAGCCGGGCACAGAGAAAGCAGGCCGGGGTGGTCTGGCAACTCCCCAGGGTGGGCGGCAACAAAAGAAGGTCAATGAGGGGCGCAGATGAGGCGGAAACCTGGAAGGGAGAACTGGGTCCCTAAGTCTGGAGCTTACGGGTGGTGAGGGGAAGAAGAGAGCTGAGTCCGGAGTTCTGAAACCTCGGGGCGGAGCTTCGAAAGCGACCCTTACCACCTGGTTTTCCAAACTCAGAGCTCTGCCCTCGACCTCCGGAACTACGATTCCCAGGAAGCTGCACGGCAGTGGCGTAGGCTGTAGCTGCGTAAACGTCTACGCGGCACGGCGGGCGCGTTGGGGGCGTGTCCTGTACGCGGATTGGTTGGGCTCGCGGAAAACGCGCCCAGATCTGAGCTTGCACACCTAGTTCCTGCAGTTGGTGGCGGCCACCTTGACGGCATGGATTTCAGAGAGCTGGAGAGAGACAATACAGGGCGCTGTCGTCTGAACTCACCTGTGCCCGCAGTGTGTCGCAAGGAGCCGTGCGTCCTGGGCGTCGATGAAGCGGGCCGGGGCCCGGTGCTGGGTGCGCCTCAAGGGCCGGGGTGAAGGAGGGACGTGATACGAGGGATGCAAACTACACCGAAATGGGAGCCGGAATTGCACTGGATAGGGTGGTGGTGGGGGCGGGGTGATAGTGGTGCTAGCCATGACATTGGTGATGGTATCGGAAAATGTGATGATGAAACAGGGATGGCTCAATAGTTGAACCCCCATTTCCGCAGGCCCCATGGTCTATGCCATTTGTTATTGTCCCCTGTCACGCCTGGCAGATCTGGAGGCCCTGAAAGTGGCAGGTGAGTCTTTGGTGTATGTGTAGGGGTGGGTCTAAACTGGAGGGAGGGAACAGGAATTGGGAGACCCAGCCACTCTCCTTCTCTCCCAACCCTTCTCTCAGACTCAAAAACCCTGTCGGAGAGCGAGCGGGACAGGCTTTTTGCGAAAATGGAGGAGGATGGGGACTTTGTGGGCTGGGCACTCGACGTGCTGTCTCCAAATCTCATCTCTACCAGCATGCTTGGGCGGTGAGGGGTCCCTGGGAGGGGCCAGGGCGGAGGGGCAGCCAAACTGGGCTGGAAGGGATCAATGGCTGAAATGAGGTTGACCGCACTCTATCCCCTACTGCAGGGTTAAATACAACCTGAACTCTCTGTCCCATGATACAGCCACTGGGCTGGTTCAGTTTGCGTTGGACCAGGGCGTGAAAGTTGCTCAGGTGAGCTAATTGTGGGTTGCTCCATTTGATCACCTCAGGATAATGTGGGGAGTGCAGGGGGCAATTCAGCATCAGACATATCTGTAGTAAGTACCTCAGTAATATTTGTTGCTGCTGTTGACTTTCTACTGCTTTTCCTACCCTAAATATGTGTCCCACTGAGGACCATGGTGGGGCCCCCAGCCTCACCCATATCTAAAGGCTCAGTGTCTAGAACGAGTCTCACATCTGTCCACCTGTCCTAGTGTAGGGCACTCTCCAGTCCTGGACACCTGCCCCATCTTCAGTGCCCTCCCCTATAATCTTCTCCCAATACAGCAGCAGCCGACCATCACTTTCTCAAAATGTAAACCTAAACATTTTGATTTTCTGATCACCATAGAAATTAAGTCAGGAAGCCCTGGCTGGTGTAGCTCAGTGGATTGAGCGCGGGCCTGCAAACCAGACAATCGCGGTTCGAATCCCAGTCAGGGCACATACCGGGTTTGCAGGCTGGTTCCCTGCAGGCCAGTTCCCAGCAGGGGACGCACAAAAAAGGCAACCATACATTGATGTTTCTCTCCCTCTCTCCTTCCCTGCCCCTCTAAAGATAAATAAATAAAATTTAAAAAATAAAAGAAATTAAGTCAGGAAAATTCACAGTCAGGGGGAGGAGAATGAGATTAAGTTACTGGAGAGAAATATAAGTAGGCATGGTATTGAATGTTCAGAGGCAAAGAACCAGCTGTTTCGAGAGAATGACAAGGGTAGAAACACTTGAGGGAGGGAATGGAATAAGGGAGGCCTTGCTGAGGAGGCGGCTGAGATTCAGAACTGGAATGTGGATCTGACGATCGATACTAGAACAAGGACCCTACCCTTGAGTTCATGACCAAGTCAGGTAGATGGATGTTCAGCTGGTAAGCAGATAATAAAGGTGATTTCTGAGAACAATAACTACTGTGCAGATCACTTTCCTTTTTACCTCCCTGACCTCCTCTCTGCTCCAGTCATGGGGGCTTCCTACTCCCACCCAGCATACTGGACATGGTCCCACCTCAGGGCCTTTGCATTGGTTGTTTCCTCTGCCTCAAACGCTTTTCTAGATCTCCATCCACATGGTTCATTCATTCCCTCATCTCTTTCAGGCTTTTATTCCAATGCCATCACCTCAGGGTGACCTTCCCTGAACCGCCCACCTCTGTTTAAAATGCCAACCTCTTCTAGGCCCTTGCCAGGAATAGTTCAGTTGATTAGAGCATTATCCTGATACGCCAAGGTTGTGGGTTTGATCTCTGGTCATGGCATAAACAAAAAATAACCAATGAATGCATGAATAAGTGGAATAGCAAACTGATGTTTCTCTCTGAAAAAATTATCAATAAAAATTTAAAAAGTGACAGCTTCTTCCAACTCTCTCCTGTCCTTTATTATTTACCTTGTTTTTTGTCTGTAGCCCTTACCAGGGTGTCCCCTCCATGAGAACATGGATTTTTGTCTGGTGTGTTCACTGCGTAGGTCCCAGTATTAAATGCAGCCCATAGCATACAGTAGGTGCTCAGTAAAATGTACAGTGGGTGCAGCTTGATCAGGAAAAGCCTCTTTGGGAGATGATACATGAGCTGAGACCCCCAGAGAAGGATGCAGCCTGGTCCAAGCTGAGAGAAGAGTATTCCAAGCAGTGGGCAAAGGCTATGAGGCTAGATCATTTGCACAGTTGTTTATCCCAATGTTTGTTGAATAAATACATTTCTGTCATCGCTACAGGTATTTGTGGACACTGTGGGACTGCCAGAGACATACCAGGAGAGGCTGCAGCAGCGCTTTCCCAGCATTGAGGTGACAGTCAAGGCCAAGGCAGATGCCCTCTACCCCGTGGTCAGCGCTGCCAGCATCTGTGCCAAGGTCAGCCCTCTTGCTGTCCATGACTGGCTCCTAGCATCCCTCTGGGCAGGGGACAGGTGTGGCTGCCTCGAGGGAAGGAGGTCCCAAGTGCCTCTCTTGCCAATAGGTGGCCCGAGACCAGACTGTGAAGAACTGGAAATTTGTGGAAAAACTAAAGGACCTGGACACTGATTATGGCTCAGGCTACCCCAATGGTGAGCAAATGGTGGTCAGACTGCTTTGGGAGCTGCCCTGAGGTAGTGGTGCTGATGATAACTGTGGCAAGGCAGGCCTGAGAGTGGTTCTGCTTGCCCTGCTCCACAGTGGAGGAAGCTGAGGCCCAGACTGGGGGCCACTTGCTCATGGCCAGTGTGTGGCAGAGCTAGTTTCCAGCTAGCAGGCTCCTTCTTCCTTTTTCCCTCCCTCCCTCTCTGCTGTCTCTCTGGAGCCCCGGTGAGAGATTTGAGACCCATGTTGGGTGTCTGCGCATTTGTTAAGGGAAAGGGGGCAAAATGAGGGGCACTAGCTTATGTCCAGTGGCCCCAGCTCAGATCTATTGGTTTTCTCCCCATGATAAAGCTCAGTTTCCTTTTCTGAAGTGGAAGCGATTGTGCCTCCCTCAACAGACACACAGGGGCAGATTCAAAGATTTGTTGGTTGAGTTCAAGGAACCCCCCTGGTCCTTCTAAGACCCAGCAAGACTGGCAGGTGGGTGGGACGGCACAGTCTGTGATTGGAACTTAGGTAAGGCCAAAGTGAAGCAACCAGGTCCAGGCCAAAAACAGTTTTGCCAGCATTCACTGCTTACTGAGTGCCTGGTAGATGCCATGCAGGGCCAAGCCCTGGGGAAATATTGAGCGAGACAAACAAGGATCTCCCTCTCCACTGAGCTCACGGCCAACATGGGGAAGACAGGCGTTAACCGTTAAGTCCGCCCATACTGGTTTAATGACCGTTGTCCTTAGGGGGTAAAGGAGATGTCTCAGAGGCAGTCTTTTTAAGTAGTATCTTGAGCAAACTGTTGGCCAGGGGAAGAATCAGAGGGGGAACTGCCTGTGCGAGGGTCCTGAGGCAGGAAAATGTCTCAGATGGTGGGAGGTTCCTTAGGTACTTCAGAGGAGGCCTGAGATGAGGTGATAGGGCCTCAGATGGCAGTCTGAGGAGCTGGGACTGTGTGGATGTCACCACTGCCCGCCCACCCCTCCCCTAGATCCTAAGACAAAAGCATGGTTGAGGAAGCACGTGGAGCCCGTGTTCGGCTTTCCCCAGTTTGTCCGGTTCAGTTGGCGCACAGCCCAGAGCATCCTGGAGAAGGAGGCAGAAGACGTTACGTGGTGGGTGTCCAGAGGTGCTGTGAGGAGGGAAGGAGGCTAGGCTCAGCCCTGCCTGGGAGGGCCGCCCCCGTCCCCAGAGATGGTCGGCATTATCATCTCTCACCCACAGGGAGGACTCGTCGACAGGGGATCAGGAGGGACTAGGGAGGATCACATCCTATTTCAGGGAAAGCCCCCGAAACCGCCCCCGTCTACCCCACCGGTACTTCCAGGAGCGTGGCCTGGAGCCAGCCACCACGCTCTAGGAGTCAGCCTGCACCCCTTTACCATTCCCCTCAGTTTGTGATTAAAGTTGCTTAAGGAAAGCCAAGTGTGAGGGTTGTACTTTGGGGTGGAATGGGTGGGGGTGTGCTCTGTGGCTGGGTCCAGCTACCGAGTTTTGCACCCTAAACAAGGTGGACAGTGTTTGATTGATTTTATTTTTTTTTATTTTTTTTAAATATTTTATTTATTTATTTTTTGAGATAGGGGAAGGGGAGGAGAAAGAGTGGGAGAGAAATATCAATGTATGGTTGCCTTTCATGCGCCCCCTGCTGGGAACTGGCCTGCAACCCAGGCATGTGCCCTGACTGGGAATCAAACCGTGATACTCTGGTTCACAGGCCCGCGCTCAATCCACTGAGCCATGCCAGCCAGGGCTGATTGATTTTATTTTAACATCTATGTTTGTATGATGCAGAATTAAGAAGGACCATACTGAGAAGCGCCCTGCCCCAGCTCACTGATGGGCTTACTCAGTCTGTTTAGGCTGCAGTAACAATACACCACAGACTGGGTAGCTTAGATTTTTTTTTTATCCTCACCTGAGGATATGTTTATTGATTTTGGAGAGAGAGGAAGGGAAGAGGGGTGGGGAGAGAGAGAGAAAGAAAG